ACGGCTATTCCGAGATCAGGGTGCGCCAATGGCATCGTACATCGTTATGTCAATCTTACTCTGTATTTATCGCATTCTGTTGACATTTATCAAACTTGTTATACTAGTACAGTTATTTTCCAGACAATCAGGAAGAGATTTGGTGTTAAGATGTTTAAAACTTATGCTATGGCCAATTTAAGACCAGAAATTGGCATAAAATCTACGTTATGCTGTTGCACTTGAAAAATGCCAGTTTTTGAAATGTGCTTTTAAGTAATTTGGGAACAAAAAAATAGAATGAAAAGATTTGCAATATGTTCAGACATGCTCAGTCTGATATTTTTTGCAAAAAACCTGATGATGATTGGAAATTTCTCTTTTCTAGAGCGCATTTATCAATATGTTGTACACGTTATGTAAAATTCATAAATTAACACATTGCAATTAACTTATCTCCCTGTACTAAAAGGAATGGTGATAGAACTGGCCATTTTGTCATGTTATGCAAGGTACATCCATATATGACACAAAACATGTGTTTTTATGTTGCTTGTCCTTTGGGTTAAGTATGGCTGATGGCTTACAGTTACCTGTCTTTTTTGTCCGAGAAAATGTGTAGTGTCCGTTGCTCGGTAATAACTTAAAATAGAAAAGCTGTGGGTGCATATGATTTCAGGTTCTGAAACAGCTGAAGATGCTGACTTAAAACATAGTAGCTATTTCAGTCTATTGCTGTAATTATATGAAATAATGTCAAAAAACCTCAAGGGTGTAGTGTCCGTTGCCATGTAGTGTCCGTTGCCAAGTATACCATGTAGGTACATTAATTACATTTTGTTGCAATTTTGAAGTAATTTTGTCATTTATGTTACTTCTGTAGCATTTTGTCAACCCCTAAATGACAGGTCTTGCAAGATTTGGTGTTCTTGTCATGTACTTGAGTGGCCAGATGTGGCCGGCAACGGACACTACAGCTTACTACAGCTTAGCTGTAGTGTCCGTTGCCGGCCACATCTGAAATGAGTGGGCTAAGTTTGGAAGAGCACAACTTTTGAACCAAACGTCTCTATCCAAAAATTTAAAAAGTGCAATGTATGGCAACACCTCTAGTGCGAATTTCTGCACTGAAAGTAGAAAAATATAAAACTTGAAAAATTGGCCCAAGTGCAACCCTTTGGCGCACCCTGATCTCGGAATAGCCGTCAGAGAATGTTGTCTAGTCTACTACCCATAAATAGTATCCATTTTCTTGCAAACAATGTTATCCAATCAATTTAGGGATCCAGGATTTTTTTTGCAAACAACAATTGAAGAAACTTCTGAGCTTCGAGAAAAAAAAAGATCTTTTACATGTAGCAATTATCCCAAATGAAAACATTACTTATGGTTGTCAATGAGATAATGATGATTCCCACTATTACCACACTAATTTCTGGTGGGGCACAACTCAATAACTGGGCACAACGAGACACAATGTTAACACTTATTGTGCCCCAAGTACATTGTATTCTCCTAGTCTCCACCAGACTCCTTTGCAGGCTGAATAAATAGTACAAATTGGCCTAAAAAGGAATGTAACTGGCCAGGGGAGTTAGCCGGCCACAGAGGGTCCAGTTTCAGGGGTGCCAGAGTATACAGTGCAATTTTATGGAACACAGTGCAATATTGTATTAGTATACAGTGCAATTTTACCGAATTCAGTGCAATCGTATTGGTATACAGTGCAATTTTACTAATGACGTTGAATGACGTAACCTGGGCCTGGCTTTCCAGGGACGCCGCTGACGGAGCGTACTCACATATTTCTGTGTTTTTCGAGCGAATTTGGACCGTTCTCGTAGATAGACCTTTAGTCAAATCACTACATACTACACACAGGGCATGTTACTACACAGGGATCATTTCGAATTCGCTCGAAAAAGACAGAAATATGTGAGTCAGCGGCGTCCGCCATCTTGAAACTCAAGGAAAGCAGGGTCCAAGACTTAGTCACGTGATTCAATGTCACTAGTAAAATTGCACTGTATTCCGTAAAATTGCACTGTATACTAGTAAACTTGTACTGTATTCCATAAAATTGCACTGTATACTCTGGCAACCAAGTTTGGAAACTGGAGTCTGTTGGAGAATAGTATTTTCCTACTTACTCCTGCAGTATAGTCTGATTGTAGAGCTCTCCCTCCGGCCAGCACATGATGTTGTACTCCTCCAGTGTCACCTGCACAAGTTTGGGATCTCCCAGCCAGCCGCTCAGATGGTTCAGGATGGCAGGCAAGGTGACTTTAGGAGCAATGTACACTAAAGTCTTCACCACATTCAGTACTGCCTACAGGGGGAGAAATTTCAGAAGCATACAATACTTAGAAGCTGTGGATGGGTCAGTATTACATCATGTACAAGTGGAGTAATGTGGCATAAATCGTAGCATGTTCAGCTCAGGACCAAGAAGTTGTGGGTTTGAATCCTATCATGTCACTGATCTTGTGCCCTTGACAAAGGCACTTAACACTTAGTCTACTTTCCTCTGAGTCTGAGTACCTAGCCTCAGTTAGGGATGTCCCTTGGATAGGACGTTAAATAAAAGTCCTATGTTTGGGAGAGCCACACCCTACGCACGTTAAAGAACCCACTGCACTTATCGAAAAGAGTAGAGGACCTTTCCGGTGTGAGTGGTTCATAGCTTACAGTCTGGTCTTATGCAGCTTGTACTTACATTACAAAACTGGTGTGTCAAACCTAAAGGTGGTTTACCGGTTATGCAAAACTAAACAATGAACACAAAAATGTAGGTGTGTGGGTAATAGGTATCGGCAAACAAATCTAATTATGAGACCTCCTAGTACAGTCCTTAGTGACTTTGGCCATTGAAATGGACATGCTATGTAACAGTTAATATGTTTTTTTTTGTGTAAAAACAAGACTACTTGTACTACATGATTGAGAAACATTGTTTACCTAAACTACAAGTAAATTCTACACACTGTTTTCTACAAAAATTGACCCCTAACACAAAAAATATGATCTGATTCATACTGATTTTTGTCTGAGTTATGACAATGACTTTGTGCATGCCAGCCAGGAAAAATGACAAAGTAGCACTGCAGCAGCAAGACTTACTTGACATCAGATTTAAGTGACAAAGATCCCACAGTTACTGCCTACCTGGTCTCTGGGACTGGCCTTGGTGACCTTGTCGATGATGATGTCTTGATGGGTCTTCACCAGGTCCAGTGCATCTAACTTCAGCTGACTGCATAGTGTAACCCACAGGCTGGGACGGCTATACACTAAAATATAGAACTTTATTGCATGACAATTGTACAGGGTACATTGTATGGCAAATAGGTAACAATAAGTAGCATAGGGTAAAAAACTATAGAATTTTCTTCTTACACAACCATAGAGTTTCTCACCTGCTTACGTTTCGATGTCTATCAGACACCTTCCTCAGAGCTTCTGATGATTGGAGACAGAAGCTCATAAGGAAGGTGTCTGATAGACATCGAAACGTAAGCAGGTGAGAAACTCTATGGTTGTGTAAGAAGAAAATTCTATACCCTATATATAAGTATCTTGCAACCTGATGAAATTATTTACGGAAATAAGTAGCATAGTAAAACAGATACGTATAGAATAAAACTTAACAACTTAGGCCATGTTGATTTGATTGTAAGGATGACATCCTCCGGGAGCCCCAAAACTGATGCGCGCGTGCGAATAAAAAAAAAGTTTTGCAAAAAAAAAGTTCTTTTCATTATGAAATCGACGTGGTCATGAGGGTTGAGCAAATGACACAGAATATTTTTTGGCAAATAATCTAGTCTTCAAGTTCATTTCTTTACAATTTACAGTCTTTTTTCGTTTGATTTTGGCATTCTACGACATTGGTATAGTTTTTATTAATTTTTTTTGTAACTTATGGTATATTTTTGCTCATTTTGCAACTGTTTTGTACGATTTACAGTATGGTTGAAAACTTTTTTTTTTTGCAAAACGGCCGAAAATTCATGGGCGCACGGATGTCATCCATATGATCAAATCGACATGGCCTTATATATAGAAAAGAAATAATCAAAAGTTAGCTTAGGCTTTACAATCAGGCGGAGTTATTCATGGGTACATGTGACAGCAAATCAGTATTCTTTCTAATACTAAAACAGTCTTTTATGTATCTACCTATTTTTTTTTTTTTTTAATTTTTTTTTTTAAATATCTTTATTCAGTAAATCACATACACAATACATTTTAACACTGCAAATTTAAAACGCGAATTTACATCAATACCTGGTTATATACACTTTACGACTATACAGCAGTAGGTGATCATAAGACATACAGGAGATACATGTATTACATAACCTAAACTACATAATTACAGAACAGATGTGGGCGAGTCAAAAGGAAATGTCGATAGTCTGTGTTTTACGGCATGGAACGTGGGGTTGATATTGCTAATGGCGGTGCAGAAAAGGTAAAATTTTGCTTGCAAGATACAACTGTTCAGTGTTTTATTGTTTTGGAGGGGGGAGAAGTGACCATAAATAATTTCATTGTTGGAGAGAGCCTCGGGAAGCGTATGATCTACCTATTTTTGCATTGTGTGGGCTGTTGCATTTAAATATATAATCAAATCTATCTGTAGCAACAAGTCTATTGAAATCTGTCGTATTTGGAGAAATTTGAATAGCTTATCACGTAGGACGTCATATCTAGAGCATTCCATGATAATGGGACAAAAAGTATACACTTATTAAACATACCAATCTGATGACTTACACATTTGCATACAACCCAAAGTTCAAGACAGAATGCCCTTCCATATGACATGATTTTTTTTAACGGGGTAGTTCAATGCAAGGCCTATGTGACCACTTCCCGGCATTGATTTAGAAATATGAGAGAAACATGGCTATGTCAAGAGATGGCGGGGAACGTTTGATTTGAAAGCCTGTAGACTGTAGGTTGGTGGGAACACTTGTCAGGAAGGGAATTCCAAAGCTTGGCCGTACGGGGAAAGAAACTGTCACTGTAAAAAGATTTCAAACAAGGAATTTGGATGGTGAAGTTGTGTGAGCTAGTGGAGAACCTAGTGGAACACTTAAAAGTTCTGAGTGGTGGAACTATAGTTCCCAACTATAGTTGGGTGAGTTCTGCAGAGCAATGACAATGAAAATATCTGTAAAGAGGGATAGAGAGGCAACATTTTGTCTATGGGAAAGGGGCTCTAACTTGGAGACCAGAGGATAGCCTATGGCCTAGCAAATTGTGGCGTCGTGTGGTGTAGTGGTACATCACTGGACTATGAAACGGGGAGACCCGGGTTCGATTCCGGGTCGTACCCGAACAAGTCCGAACATGCGCTGCGACGTTGTACCCTTGGGAAAGGTACTTTACACGACTTTCCTCACTTCACTCAGGTGAAAATGAGTACCTAGCTTCGGTTAGGGGCGTCTTATCGGATGGGACGCTAAAATGGAGGTCCCGTGTTTGAGGAGAGACTCACCTCAAGCACGTTAAATCACCCACGTGAGCGGAAGTGGAACAAACCATTAAGGTCTAAATAGGGGTAGGGAATTTTCCCGACCAGCCTCGTAACCCCTGCTTCTCCTATTGGGTCAGTTAGTCCTCACTACTTGTGAGGATGTTTCTGACTCAGGGAGAAGAGTTGCTGTTACAGTTCTATACCTCTAGCTCTATGCCTAGAAGTGGCCAATGGCCTTGCATTGAGCGACACCGACAAAAAAAAACAACTCTCTTTTGTATGCTATGTGGTTTATCCTACCGATGCATGAGTGATGTGCGTCCATCAGAGCTTCCAGCATGAGTTTCTCAGCCATGGTCTTCTCACTGTCCAGGCCAGGAACCAGGCAGATCATCTCCAGGGCTTCAGCCAGTATCTTAGGGGAGATAACTCTTGGTGCATCCACATCCTTCTTCACCTGGTCTCCATCTCTCTCCTCCAAGTACCTTTTATAAACCTCAATCTGGGTGTGGAGACAATCAACAACCATCAGAACAATAGCAACACTAATCTTCCTCTGTTCATTCTTTAAGCCCATTACACATTATGTACAGGGCTCGAAATTCATTTATCGGAATAGGTGCACTGGTGCACCCAACTTAAAAATATTGGGTGCACAAAAAATTCTTTGGGTGTACCATATGAAATGAAATAATTAGAATGTGAGCAAAAAGTCAGCAAAAGTCGTACACAAGAATGATTTTATTATTTTTCTGACACTTAGTTAAGAATATGCTGTATACAACTACACATCTTGACATACTTAAACCCACAGAAAAAAATTGGGTGCACAGCTCCAAATTTGGGTGCACTAAGGTTCAGTATTTTGAGCCCTGCACGAACAAACATTGCTGACCCCCCCCCCCATCATGTTTAAAACGTTCAAAATATTTAAAACATTCTGATGTGGACAGGAGATTTAGCCATGGTTGGCTGGTGTTTGGGGTAGATCAGCAGTGGTTAGGGGGTGGCAGGCAGTCAGATTTAACTTATTAAGTTTGATTTCTTTCAAATTCAATAAAAAGGTAGGTGTGGCCTAAATCTGGTCAGACTGCTCCCAAATGTCAGCCAACCATGGTCGGTTGGTGGTTGGAGGAAGGTTCTGAATGTGTGAGAGAATTCTTTATCTACCACAATCAGACGACTAACCTATATCTCTGTACGATTCACCCTATGTATCTGTTACAGTACATGTATTAATATGTAGCTGGTGTAACCACCCCTGGGCGTACCTCTCCAGTTTTACAGGCACGCAGTGAAGCAGCAGCTAGCTATATTACACCGAACAACCTGTTACACCATCCCAATCTTTGCACGTCTGACTTTCTAGTGATGATGCCCCAACTGTACTTGGTATACATTTTGTAGAATCTGATATACATTTTGTAGCCTCCTTGGCCTAATATACATGTACTAGTATCACAATTCTTTCCTAGAACTATTGCAGAGTGGAACTCGCTGTTACCAAGTACAGTAAGGGCATTGTCGATAGCTTTAAACAATGTTTAGAGTTAGGTGTTCAAGGATTAGGCATTAGTCGATCAATGTAATATAGCCAGCTGCCCCCGCGCCGTGTGCCTGCAAAGCTGGTGTGTTACGCTGAAAGGCGGTTATACCGGCCGGCTATACAGGTACAGATACAATTGTGAATTAATAGATGGCCATGAAAGTGCTTTTTACTATGCCAACACGGCAAAGCTAATTTTAACTGACCGACTGAGTGTTGAGGATGGCTCTGAGCTGCAGCAGTAGTGGGTGTGCCAGTCTGTCTGACCCCAGCACAGACAGTAACTTCTTGATGCTCTGTCGACCAGACTTCCTTACCGGCCAGGACGGGCTCAGGAGCAGGCTGGTCAGGGCACGGTACAGATGCCTGCAGGTCACAGGTCACACATGGTCACTTCTGGGACAAACTCATAGGTCACAGGTCACAGGTCAGACATGGTCACTTCTGGGACAAACTCATAGGTCACAGGTCAGACATGGTCACTTCTGGGACAAACTCATAGGTCACAGGTCACAGGTCAGACATGGTCACTTCTGGGACAAACTCATAGGTCACAGGTCACAGGTCAGACATGGTCACTTCTGGGACAAACTCATAGGTCACACTCAATGATATGTAACTTCATGGATGACATCCATGCGTGAATATAACATCTGTGCCCATAATATCACCACCTTGAGAAACAGTGTGCTTAAAGATATTTTTACTGCAACATACTTTTGGTATGTACATTTGATGTGTGAAGGAGTGCATACCAGAAGTATGTTGCAGCAAAAATATCTTTAAGCACACTGTTTCCCAAGGTGGAGATATTAATTATTATGGACCCTGGTGATATTATGGACACAGATGTTACTAATATTTTCGTAAACGCAAATTCACAACACCAGCTTTGCATTCCAGTGGTTTTTATCAGCATTCATTTTGGCTGGACTTTTTTTTATTCGCCCGCTCGCATTAGTTTTGGGGTCTTCAGAGGATGTCATCCATAAACTAGAAAGGCCAATATTTGCTTTGGAGCAAATACAGCGATGGGTTCACCACATTTTACGACATGGCAGGGAAAGAATGGGAAACACAAGGGAAAACAATGATTTACATTGATATAACTATAATATGAAGTAAAATACAACTGAAACAACAGTTGGATAGCTATTCCCTACTTTATTGGTTAGGATTTTTAATTGCATAATGCAAACTGTTGATTTTCAAAATAAAAAAAAACGTCCATGCCCGGCATTCCAATGCTGGAGCAGGAAAGCTTGAAATACCTACCAAAACACTTGAATACAGACATACTGTCAGTATGGAAATGCATCTGTGCAGGTGTTAATCAAGTTAAATCCCAACAGCCAATCAGCAAGAAGTATAGAGGAAAGCTGCATGCCTATTGGTTGATGCCCTGCATTCCATTGTGATGACTCATGCCCAAACGTGGTAAACAAGGCACACTAAGACAGTAATACATTTGCTATAACACAGCCAAAAAACTCAAATAAAACCATTCTAAAAGCCTGTATCACAATAATTTAAAAAACGCCTAGGGGTATTTGCCCACTGTACCTCCATACCAAATTTCAGGACCTTGGGCCCTAAAATGAAGAAGCTGAATCCATTTAAAAAATGGCAGGAGAAGAAGAAGGAGAAGAAACATCAGAAAAAGCAATATGGTTTCACCACACCACTTCGTGGTGTGGTGAACCCATAATTACATGTAAGTCAGTGAATACTATGTGCTTATAGAGATAGCAGTGTATGGATACTGGATCACAAGAGAAGAATAGCTCATAATACTCATGTATCCATTGAATACACATGAATCTGTTAAATACAATGTCATGTACATGTACAGTCATGTATCTGTTGAATACACATTCAAGTATCCGACTGTTGAATACAGTCTGTTGAATACACGTATTCTGTTGAATACACAGCATTCTGTTGAATACATATGTATTCTGTTGAATACACAGTATTCTGTTGAATACACAGTATTCTCTTGAATACACAATGTCATGTATTCTGTTGAATACACATGCATTCTGTTGAATACACATGCATTCTGTTGAATACACAGTATTCTGTTGAATACACAATGTCATGCATTCTGTTGAATACACATGTATTCTGTTGAATACACAGTATTCTGTTGAATACACATGTCATGCATTCTGTTGAATACATATGTATTCTGTTGAATACACAGTATTCTGTTGAATACACAATGTCATGTATTCTGTTGAATACACATGTATTCTGTTGAATACACATGCATTCTGTTGAATACACAGTAGTCTGTTGAATACACAATGTCATGTATTCTGTTGAATACACATGTATTCTGTTGAATACACATGTCATGTATCTGCTGAATACACATTTATCTGTTGAATACACAATGTATCTGTCGAATACACAATATCTGTTGAATACAAAATATATCATTCTGTTAAAACACATGTACATGTACATGTATCTGTTGAATACACATTCTGTTGAATACTAGCCATGTACAATATATCTCTTGAATACACAATCATGTATCTGTCGAATACTATACATCGTTATATGTTGAACACACATCATATACATTGTATAAATGTGCTGGATGACAATCAAATCTTAAAATTTGATTATGGTTTTCAATGTCAGCTTACAATAATCCTTATTTGCGTAACGGTTAATTGTACCAATAGTGTACATCATCATACTGCAGTTAGACATAACAATAAACATTAGACAAACTTCACCTGGTATTTGCAGGACTGAGTTTCTGTGGATGATCTAGCAGCAAAGTCTCACACAGACTGCTCACATTCACCAGGGCTGTGGGAACAGGATGACAATATGAAATTACCAGAGGATATTTCACTGCTGTAGTAGCCTGGGATCCAGCCTATTCTAGCTCAGGTTTGCTACTCTGATTGCTTCTCTACAAAATAGTCTGGAAACCCAATGATAGAATAACATTTGTGCATAGTTCCTTTCAAACAAAACTGCCTCAGAGTCAAGACAATCAATACATGGTCCTCATACATCGTAACAACATAGTCACAGATTTCACAATCTTGGAAGTTAATGATCCACTGTGACACTGCTTCTGTGAAATATTTGATTCGAATTTCCCTAAATAATTACAGGATGAATGTTGTGAAGACTATGTCCTGTAACTTGCAACATAATGTAATCTAACACCACAGGGTGTGTGCTACAGCACTAGTTACCAATGGTGGTGACTATCTGGTCCAGGTTATTGACCTTATTTGAATGGAAGAAGAAGAACCAAGCAAAAACAAAATGTTTTCATCTAGCGAAAGTAAACATTAGTGACTAGAAACGCCAAAAAGCAGTTACTCAAGCAACTGGATATGATTTTGGTTGCTTGAGTAACTCCTCATTGACGTATTAGTAACTAGAACACTACAGTCAGCACTGTACAAACCATCATCTGGAGCCTGGTTCAGGTATTTCTCTGACATCAACATCTGTTTGCTGTCATCTAACAGATGATTCCAGAAAAGGCTCAACTTGGACTCTGAAACATATCAATATCCACAGAATATTAGCTGTTATGGCAAAGTTAAACAAACAATTTCAACATCCAACATCATGTTATCCACAGAGCCTAAAAGTGCTGATATCCAAGGCAGTTTGATAGGATACACTAACAATGTAGCCTCATCCAACATCTGCTTGGAGATTAGTGAAAATAATACGCTGACCTGGCACTAAAGTGAAAAATCAGACTTGCGATATGTGCATTTGTTTGGTATTTATACTAAGGCTTATTAATAATTATATTCCGCTGGTACATTTATAAGTTAGGTCACACCAATTTAGTTAGGCCCGAACAAATATGAAGCGACAGGAAATTTGTTCAAAGTTTTAAAGTTTTAAAAGCTCTTCTATCTGCATGCCTAATCTTGTAAAAAAAAAAGTCATGCATTTCTAGCTTAAGCCAAACATTTGAGGTAAGCCTCAATTCATTTCTGTGTTGCCCTTGCATTTCTTTAGTGTGGTAAGTAAACTACAATGTGTACATGTACACTCCTGATACATGTAGCTACACTGCCCCCTACCTGATTCAATCTCAACTGCAGACAGTTTGGTGAGGAGACAGGCAGCTGTGAGACCTTCTGTGACCACAGCCTCCTGGTTCAGGTTGGAGGCAGCCTTCTCCACAGCCTGCAGCAGGAAGGGCAGGAGGACTAACCCCTGCAGCAGGGTGTCACCTGGGATAGCAGAACAGCATGTCAACAAAACCGGATTTTTTGGCGACGTCTCAGGAAGGAGCCTAATGGTACAGTATTGTGTGCAGTTTGCAAGAATTCTAGGAATGCTACAGGCATTTTGTCCACAGGAATGGAACGTCCACAGGCATGTCTCTGCCCACAGCTACATGTATGCCCACATTCCTGGAAACCCTTGGGAAGACCTCTCTGCCCCAGATGGCCCTACTTTCTGTGGGAAGGGGAGGAGTGCACTGTATCTGTCTATGTTTTCATTGCCAGTCTTGCAATGTACCAAAATTCCAGCTAACTTCAAAATTATATGTAAGTCAAGATTTACAACAAACTTTAAGGTTTATGAATCTTCTGCATGACACTATTGTTAGAGAATCTCCCATTAAAGTTGTATATCGAAATGCACAATTATTACAAAATGTATTATTATTAGAATAACTACAAATAACTACATGTATTTTCACCTATAACTACATGTATTTTCACCTATTCAAGAATGCAGTGCACCTATACAACCAACAGTTAGGAGCCCAACCCCAACTTTAGGTGTGCAAAAGTGCAGACTCACCTATCATTTTAAGTAGAATGTTCTAAGGAACATTCAAACAAGGTCAATCAACATACAGTTTGACTCTGATCAAGAAGGTGCCTAAAATAGACCACACCATACTCTTCATCCAATTTAACCACCAGTCCTGCTAAATATCATTGCAATCCAGATCTTTTTTTTTTTATTCCAACATTTCATGACTAGACATGGTGACGGCACACTCAAGTTATCAACTTATTTTATGCCGTCACCAACGCAGACAGAGGACAAATACGGAAGAAGACAAAACTCATTTTCACCTGAGTTAAGTGAGGAAAGTCATGTTAAGTGCCTTTCCCAAGGGCACAAGATCGGTGGCATGTCAGGACTCGAACCCGGGACCTCTTGGTTCCGAGTCGTGCACTCTGCCGCTATGCCAAACGACCCCACAATCCAGATCTTGAGATATACATGACTGTATATCCAAACATCATCCAGACAAAAGAGTACCTCCATTCTTTTATGAAGGACAATAATATACATGTACATGACTTTATGTCCTACCTGGGCCGCGATCATGTTCGATACGGGTGTTCCGGCCCGTGTGATAACTAGCGGTACGGCCCGGGGGTTCTGGGGGTTCTTATCGCGTACGGCCCGGCCCTTCCAAATGTTCCACAGAACGATTCGAACGCGTTTCGCCCTAACCGCGTGCAACGCTTTCGAAAATTTGAATGCAAAATTTGGATGTTGGAATTGATGTTGTTGCACTTTTTGGGTTTAGGGACACCAACTTTCTGCTCATTTTGCATTGAAAGGCGTGTTTTCTTGGGTGGGTATGACATAAATAAAATACAACACGGTGTATTCCGCATCACCCTCGGTCCCAGCTCTCCTGCGGATCGGATATCTCCCTCCGGCCTTCGGCCGATCCGACGCGCAGTCGGGCTGGTACCTCGGGCGATACGGAATACACCGTGTTGTATTCTATATGTATAAGAATAGAGGGCTATCATACCACTGAAAGCAGCCAGCATACACTGTAGGTAGGCAGTCCTCACAGCAGTGGTGGATGTCTTCAGGGTCACTCCCTTCTGCTCAACAAACAAAAGCATTGCCATCAGTTTAGACCACATCAATTTTATTTGTTGGTTCTCGGGAAAAAAAATAAAAACAGGTCTAGGCATCCTATTATAGTCTCAAATCCTATGATACATGTAGGAGTCATGAAGTCAACACAAAAGGCTGGGTTGATATTTAAACCATGAATTTTGAACTTTTACTCAAACCACTGAATTGATAGATGGAAAAACTGAAACAACTAGGAAGAAAAGGACTTTCCTCAACCGTTGGGGACAAAATATGTATTGAGCATATTTGAGTTGATTCAGAACCAGAATCTATTTTATTTTGAAAATCAGAAAAAAATGAAGAGGCGAAATCCGAGAACCAACAAATTAAATTGGTTTAGCAAAGGGATTTTCCAAACAACACTGTCCCAAACCAACCCAAAAGAATTTACTTTTTACTGGGTGAAGAATTTCAAAATTTTATGACAGAATCAATTATTTTTCACAGCATGAAACATCAACCAGCTAAAAATTGTGGCCATAGCATATCTAGAACCTGAGATACTCTACAGCACCTGGGAAAGCTGCCAAGGGACTAAAATCTTAAATGTATTTCTAGGATTCGTCACAATCTAATAACAAACTAAATATGAATTACAAAGTTTAACCAATCCATGCAGCCATTCTTAATATGTTATCTTTTAGTAACAGCAGAAAATACATTGTATACCGAACAAAGATTGTACACTGCTGAAAATATTATAATAAATAATTGCATATACATGTACATTGTACACTTGTATTACCCTAAATTTTTCATGGAGGCAATTATGACAATAATTTGGGCAAGTGACGTTACATAATTATTCTAGACTTCTATTGAAAATATTGTGTCCATGTTAAAATTTAGAAACCTTACCTTAAACCACTCGATGAGTTTAGTAGGAACTTGTGTTGAGAACTTGTCACACCAGAGTGACAGCATGGATAGGGTGTGGACCAGAGTACCCTCATGTACTGCAACATTTCATCAGGACAAAAATTCAAACCAAGTCAACATGCATGTTAATAGCAATGCGTACCTAAACCCACATTTAGGTTCAGGTCCGGATTCAAGTCCAGAGGTTTAGGTTCAGTTCTGGACTTGTAAGTCAGGACCTAAACCCTTGGCATATACAAAATTGCATGTTGGCAACCTTGCAATGTTGTCTGGGTGAAACTGTGGCCACATATAACATGGAGGCCGGCACTTGACGATGCCTGATGGCAATGTTTTCTTCATTTTGTAGCACAGATTTTGGAATCTATGGATGGATTTACATGGTTTGGTAAGAAAAGGGTTTTTTTTTTGCAATAAGTCCTGAATCGGTTTTTGATTTTTAGTTTTTTTGGTCTTGAACCTTCAGAAGTCCAGAACAGGTCCAGTGAACCGGTACACAGCACTATGCATGTACATGTATTTACCGGTATGAATGAAATTAAAGACACATACAGTAGCATATCAAGGAAAAGGGATTCCACCAGTGTTCTACCCAGCCAACAATTTTTTTTCCGTCATCTCTATTTTGTTTGACATAACATCATGTGAAAGCCAAAGGCGTAACAATTTTGAAATCTTGACCCACTGAAATGCTATTTCCCACAATTATGAGTCAAATTCTGCTGGTAAACTTAAAACTTAGTTCTATGACATCTCTCTTTCGATATTTTTGCCCATCAAACACGACAGATTGGGCAGATTTTCAAGAAAGATGGACTCTAACCAGAATACTGGATTCAACCCTCATCTACATTTTGTAAATGTGGTGTGTGTTATGATTCAGTAACCAATAGAAAACTGGTACTAGCCAAACAGCTACGTCAGCATGCAAAATGTGCATGATGTGCATAAAATTTATCAAAAATAGACTGAATGAAATCCACTTCAGGATATCTTACTGCATGCTTAATATTTACTGTCAAGGAGTCGGGGGTTTAAAATCATATTTATCAGAATGTATAATACACATTCAAGATGAAAATGTTGCTTGGGTCAAGCCTACAAATGTAGGACAGATACTGTTTACAAGTTACTATGTGCATTTTGGAGTTTCAATTAAAATTTTACAACGTATACTTCAGAAAGAAGTATGTTTAGAGATATTAAACTCGGGCTTGTTACATGATAAAGGAAGATAAGAGACTGTCCTAACCTTCCTGCTGCAGGTAAGGTACAAACATCTCTGTCACCACACTGGCCAGGGTCTGTGTTCCTGAACCACTCACAGTGTTGTAGCTCAGGTTTCCTAGTCCTGAAATTAAAAAAAATGAAAGGAATTAATATGATACAAGTTAGAGTACATTTGACACTGCCCTACACAACCCAAGGGACAGTAAATAGAAGTTCCTATGCTATTGTCTTACCATAGGAACTACTGATTCAGAAGTATTTTATAGTGAGTACAATTTCTGAGTTTACAATTAATAACTTTCAATGTGGTGTCTTTGAAGGATTAATATTAGGTCATGTTACTAAATTAAATGTAGGAAAATCAATCAAACAGGTTGCTGTTTCATATACAAATTTTCGTATCAAAAAATGTTGTTCTTGCCTGAATGTTTGGGACACATTTTGGTAATTTGATAGTATTACACAAGACAATATATCCTCTATCCTGGTTTGGGCCTATCAGAAAAGGGCCATTTGCACAAAGAATTGGAGATGTTAAACCATCCAAAAGACAAGTGAATTTAATTTCTGTCCCAGCAAAAGCTTGAAGAAAAAGGATGTTACATAAAAAGTTACCAATTTTATTATATGTCAGGGTACAGCCTGTGATCTGGCTGCATTGCTGATTTTACCATTGGAGACTCTGGTCGAACAGAAATTCTGTTCAGGATTTCTTAAATGGCAGAATCGGCTATTCTGTAAGGCGACAAAATATAGATTATAACGGTTACCCTTACCAGTGAGAACACCCATCCTGTGTTTCACCACGGTGAGTTTTCCTTCCGAGCCGTTGAGAACGTTAAACAGATGTTTGGCAGCCTCCTCCAGGGCACCAGGGTCACTACACTGCTGTGCCAGGATCTTAAAGGCCCTCCCTGTCTCCTCACAAGTGGTATCATCCTTGGAGTGCAGCTGACCTGGATGGGTGGAAAGGTATTCATTAAAGGCACTTAGAAGAACTTTATTGACACAACAAAAGTACAGCGACTTTCGTAAAGTCTAAGACATGTAGATATACAGACAAATATACATGGGTACAACGAAATTATCCTACGTACAGAACAATAGGTGGGTCAACTAATACTACTTGTTCTAAGGTCTACATGTAATCATTCTTTGATATGTTTACCTATTTGTACACAGTAAGGGTTATTACCTTCTAGGATGAAATCAAATTTATCTATAGCAAGAAATGTAACAAATTCTGTTGAGCAGGCAGACAGAAGGTTGAACAGCTTTGTGCGTTTATCATTATATAGTGAACAATTCAAAATAAAATGTTGTTTGTCTTCAATATCATTGGGACAGAATGGACAAAACCTCTGGTCGCGAGGGATTTTTTTATATCTTCCTAATTCTATATTCAATTTATGCAGTTTTAGGGCAGCAAAACAGAGAATATTCTGACAAGAAAATCTGTCTGATATTGGCATAAAATTATACATTTTTGGTGTTGTGCCGTATACTGCCATTTCTTTCCACAATTTGATACTGAAGCATTTGGCTATGTGAGGTGTGTTTTATTTTTGTGTACCGCCCATAAATAGCTAAAGCCAGCTTACAATACGAAACAAGCAACTGTTTTTCATTGGCAACATCACATTTTCCTCACAAATATCGGTATGCTATTATTGGATAGGATTGATACTGCATTAAAAACTGACCAGAAAAATTGTTTTGCATCCCTGAAATTCAATTGGACACCACTAACACTCCAGAGAAATCAATGACAAAAAGAAATGTGGGTAGCAACTTGCAAGGCTCCCTACACATTTATGTATACTGTACAAAAGCGACACCATATTGTAAATAGCTGATATATCCCGACTTACAGAATGTAATAATACTCTTCCTAAGAAAACACAATTATAGATTAGCTCGTTAGAATCATATTTTAGTATTAGTTTGTGTATGTACCATTGTTGTTTCTTTGCCATACATTGTACCAGCTACAGTTGTTGAGCAATAAAGTTTATTGATTGTGTGTGATAAAATTATATAATAATAGCCAGGGTCATTTTTAACTTGGATATTGGTAACCTGCTTCCTGCAAATTCCCCTATGTCCTGGCCAAAGCCATTTTCTGTGTCTGACCTTTTGACCTGTCTATACTCTGCCCACCCACATGCTGTCAACCTACTTTGCACGGACGAGCAGACACATAAACCCACAGTTCAGACACAGTTTCAATTATTGTCTCAACTGTTGCTTCAATTATTGTTTTTGAACTAAATGTGACCAGTGATTTGTTACTTCTTTGATCATTTAGTCTTTGTGTCATTTTATTATCATACATTACTTTATCATTTTGCATTACTTTATTATCTCATTGTTACTATTTGTTACAATATTAAAACTTAAATTTATCTACCCCTGGATAACATGAAACACCAGAAATATAAAATATAATCTAACATCACGTCTATGTTACAATAGCCTAAGAACAGAGTAAAACTATGTCCTTACTTCCCAGGATCTTACTGATGTCCTGTGTATACTGGCTCAGGTCCAGGGATACAGATGCTAACAGGTTACAGATAGCTGTGGGGAAAGGGAGAAAATGTTTCAGTTTAGACAGAGGGTGTACAATACACAATCATGTAATCACTCACTCACTCACAGACACACACACTCACTCACTCACTCTCACTTACTCATTCACTTGCTAGCTCACTCACTCACATCAATCACTCACTGACACTCTGTCACTCACTCACTCATACTCACTCATTCACTACTCACTCACTCCACTCACTTCACTCACTCACACACTTCACTCACTCCACTCACTCACTCCACTCACTCACACACTCACTTCACTCACTCACTCACACTCACTCAATCACTCACACACACACTCTCTCTCTCACACACACACACACTCACTCATTCACTCACATTCACTCTCTCACTCACACACTCACTTGCTCACACTCAGTGACACACACACTCTCACGCACTCACTCTATCTCACTCCCTCACTCACTCACTCTCACTCACTTGACTCTCACACTCATACATACTCACTTGACTCACACACACACACACTCACTTCACTCACTCACTCACTGACTCTCACTCACTCGCACATTCACTCACACACTCATTTCACTCACTCACTCACTTACTTCACTCACTCACTCACTCACTCACTCACTCACTCACTCACTCACTCACTCTCACTTCACTCTCACACTCATACAATCACTTGACACACACACACACTCACTTCACTCACTCACTCACTCACTGACTCTCACTCACTCGCACATTCACTCACACACTCATTTCACTCACTCACTCACACTTACTTCACTCACTCACTCACTCACACTCACTCACTCAATTACACACACACACTCACTCATTTACTCACACTCACTTCACTTACACACACACTCACTTCACTCACTCACACACACTTCACAAATAATCTTTCTGCTACAGTAACTTAAATAAGGGCTATGAAGACTGGTGACGCATAAATAAGTAACATATTTATTTTACACATTACTCCTACGTTTGTACTTCAACAGCATTTCTACATGACTTTATTCCTTTCCTTCTCCCCTTCTCCTACCTGGCATGAGTATCTCTGCATTACGCAGGACTGCCTTCTGTACGGCAGGCAGCAGTTTGTCCTTGAAGTCCTGGTGGTTAGCATGGCGTAACAAGCTCTCACAGTTCAACTACAAGGGCAACAGACAAAAACATGGGCAGGCCTCAAAATTAACTTTTCTTCCTACTGTCCCAGCACTGTCCCAAAAATAAATTTCAAGTGTTTCGAAGTGAGAATGAACTGTCCCAATCTTTTGGTTTTTTTTGGGGGGGGGGGTATTATATGACTTCGAATTCAACTTGAAGTCAACTTTCATTAGCTTGGATGTATGTTTGCTACCAGGCGCACTATAATTGCAGAGTAGACAGGGAATTCAGGGGGACTTTTCCAGATCCAAAAGCTGGGACATGTGCCTGATAAACAAGTCTTAGGTTTGGCATTCTGATGTTGATTATTTTTCTATTGTCCCGAAAATGTCCCAAAGTGTCTTTTTAGTTGTCCCATCCTAAATTTTAATGGTCAGTGGCCATCGGACCACCTTTTAAGCCCTGATAGGTCTCAGAAAACAGCAATGCTCGCAATCTAAGTATTACGCATGTACATGTTTACGGGCTTGGAATCTGTCCATTATTTATTTATTTCAACTTTATTTACATATGGTAAAAACAGGAGTGTTCTTTAGACTCCCTGACCAACATTAATATAGAATTGTCATTTTCAATAAACAATACATACAAAGAAAATAACGATGGGAATATTGTGACAAAAATACTGATAACAATAATTGTAACAAAATAATAAAGCAACAAAATGATCAAAAGAAGTCACACATCACTGGTCACATTTAGACCAAAACAATAAATGATAATAATTGAAACAACAATTGAGACAATAATTGAGACAATAACTGAGACAATAATTGAAACAATTTGTGTTCTTTGAACAAATTAAACACAGCAAACAAAATTTCAAAAGGAAAAAAAAGTAACCATGATCATTAGACACCACAATTAACAAAGAGGACTGAAGTGGCATCATGTAAGGCATTTATTGCCCAATTTAGAGCAATACAAAACAGTAACTTAGACATCCGTGAATAGTTTCATCAGGTTGGTAAGACACTGAGTAAAGAGACTCTTTTTACTAACCAAGTCTTTTTTATTCAGCCGACATTTCGGTGACCGTCTGTCACCTTCCTCAGGGCAATTCTGACTGGTTCAAATTGCACTGCAGCACAGGCGTCGCTGCTACAGTTGCATTCCCAACAAGAGTCCCACGATCTCATACCTTCGCCAAATGATGTTAATCTTTATGACAAAGTAAAGATTATTCCTCCTGATTATGCAAATAGGATCCTCATTTGCATGAATTATATGAGTTGATCATATTATCCATAAAAGACAGCCTTATCTTAAAAAAGAAAGCCATTCTATCATTACCTCATAAATTATGCAAATGAGGTCCTTATTTGAATAAATTATGCTTAATGATGTTCACATTCACTTAACTTGCAAATACCCTAAGTATGAAATTCCAGGCAGTTACCATTATGGAATTATAACATTTTCTCATTAATTATGCAAATTAAGTGTTAATTTACATAATTAATATCTGCCTGTGTTTTTCTCGTTGTCAATTACATATGTCTCAAGCTTGAATAGTCCTATAATGTAATGCAGCTGATTTACCGAATTTCCTCATTAATTATGCAAATTACGTCCAGATTTGCATAATTGTCGCATAATTATGTCAAGCATCACTTAAGCTACTTACATAACAAAAATCATGATGATCCGTCCACCGGTTCTTGAGTTATCCTCTTATGAATATTTTCAAAGAAATGGCCCTGCAGTTCCTGAGCAAGCCGATAGGGGGCCCAAACCTATGTCACTTATTCCCCAGCACAAGACCTACCTACCATCCAAATTTCGTGACCCTAGCACGTCCAGATCACGAGATATCAAAACCGGAAGTTCAGCTGCAGTACCATAAGAAGCCGCCAGGGGGCTCAAAATCTAATCATTTCGAGGTCTCATCAAGACCTACCCACCTACCAAATATGAAGTCAATCCATTTAAGCCTTCTCAAGTTATCGTGTTTACAGACAGACAGACAGACAGACAGACACACACACACACGAACACCTACGAAAACATAACCTTCTTGGCGAAGGTAAAAATGTAGCAGTGACACCTGTGCTGCAATGCAATGTGAACCAGTGTCAGAATTGCCCTGAGGAAGGTGACACTACGGTCACCAAAACGTTGGCTGAATAAAAAAGACTTGGTTGTGTAAAAAGAGTCTCTTTACTCAGTAACTAAGACTGTAAAAAGATGACTTACCAGGACATGCAGTGGAGGTGTTGTTTTACCACTGAGCACTGACTTGATGTAGAGGTCCAAAAGTGGGCCCTGTGCAAAACACCAGAACAGACATTACTACATCAGTTTTTAGTAACAGTACAGTAACAATCTTTAACCTACAACATCATTTTTTCAGAACTGTGTGGCAATATTTGATACCATGGTACCAGCAACATGATTTAAATATCACATTATGTGACTATAGATTTATTAGGATATTTAAAACCTTTGTAATATATTACAAACAAACGTTCTTCATGTATGTGATTGTGCCATAATATCTGTTTGTTTGTTTGTTTGTTTGTTTTGTGGCCGGCTCAACAGCTTGAGGACCAACTTGCCCGCAAGGATGGGGTGAGGGCTGTATGGAGTGATAATTATCATTAAAGAAAAATATTATTTGCACAGTAATACTGACCTTGAACTTGTTGATATTGTCTGTGTCCTTAGTTTCTGTGAAGTATCTCATGACAGCCCCGACCAGACACATCAGCACCAGACTGGGCTCCAGACTGGACACAGTCTCTCCATACACAGCAGCAAGACCAGGTATCTAACAGGTCCACAGTACACAGTACAGGATCATATTAGCTCAAGTCAACTTTGACTTTGACTTTATTAGGATCCACACTTAGCTTACCACAAATGTAGCTATTCTTCCTGTGGTCCTTCGAGATACACATGACACATTTACAAAACATAAATACATGTACATTCATTGGCAATTATAACATATTAACACAGATTAAAATAAGGCTATATACATGTACATCATCACCACTTCATTTCATTCCAGGCACTGGACATTCTATACAAAAATCTTCTTTTCTGTGCATTTGTTCGAGGTTTAGGAAGGTCTGTGAGTCTGATGTTCTAGTATGGTACCCATGTGACTGCATTCATTTGTTACATTCTGTTTGTGCATCTATTAGGCCACAGCAAGTAAATTTCATGGATGACATTCTCCGCAGACTCCAAATCTAATGCGAGCGGGCGAAAAAAAGACGGGTCGAAAAAAAACAAGGTTCCTACATTTTAAACTTTTGACTCAATCTGATTGTACAAAATGGTTTTAATCCCTGTGGAAGTTTTTAGTGTGTTGAATTACGAAATAAGAAACATTATATCACAGTTGCGAATTATTGTTGGTGGCATAAGGAAATTAAACATGGCTTGAATGAGAGCTGGGGCATTGTTATTAATGTTAATTGTGTGAATTAAAGAACAATAGGGGCGGGGAAAGATGTGCATATGAAAGGACAAGATCGCAGGAAAAAAACTGCGACTCGAAGTATCACCAAAACATGTCAAGTCCCCGCCCGCTAAAGCATGAACCAATCAGCTATTGTTGCCAATAGTGAAATGACTGATTTGACACCGATTTCTCATTAATATTAATGACTTCCAAGTGAGGATTTTTGATGGCCTTTTTGGCCATCTTGACTTAATGTAACTCACCTTGCCCCAAGCACTTTTCAACACCTTATAGGCACCCAGACTGATGGAAGCCTTTCTGCACCCAACTGTGGTGTGGAGAAGGGCACTTTGTATCCTGACCTGTAACAAAACAACACACTTTACTTCTTACATGTACCAATGGGAGGCAAATTGCAAGCTAACCCTTGTCCTGCTGGCTGGCATTTTTTACACAGTATTTTTCAATAATTTCAAGGCATAGTCTTACTAGACAGACATCTGTCAAGGTCTAGGTCATTTTATTTGTTTGAAACAGAGGGAGGAAAGAGATCTAGAAGAAACAGACCAAAAACAATTTTTCCTTCTGCGTAAGGTAAGCATAATGATTCCACATAATTGTTGGTACAGGTGGGAAGTGGTACTTACCAGTTTAGTCCATAATGGCCCTGTGCAGTTTTTAGTCCCACTGAAGGATGTGTGGAGGAGCAGGCATGACCAGCGCAAACCAGTCAGGTTCACCATACACACAGCAGAGCTGGACACAAGGGACAACCGGACACTTTGGTCAACTTTCAAACTCAACGATTCTTTCACACAGGGAATGTCCTAATCCTATCCTGAATATTTTCCAGGCCCTACATCAAGACTCTACTAGTAGCTAGCTGCAGCTAAAATCTTTTTTTGTCAGCCCAGAGTTGCAACTTGCTATGTTGATATTCTCCATGGGGAAATTTTGAATTTTCAAAAATGCAATTTTGAAATGCAGGTTTTGCTTTTGAAAAAACCGCTTTGGAGCAAGTCGCGTAATCGTAAAAAGGGGACTTGTTTGGGACAGAAAAACAGTTGTAGATACTTTTAGTCATAATTTGTGTATTATAATTTTTAAACTCTCTTCTCATATGCAGATTGGCCTGTGTTAAACACTCTAGGTCAGAATTAGGACACCGCTATTGCGATAGAACGTTCCACCGGCAAAATGACCAAAAACCTGCCGTACGTTTCGTGAACCATTACGCTTGGGTACAAGGCACTACACTGAAGTGAAATACACAGCAGTGTGTGCAGCTTTAATTTAATTGTTGTGTTTATCTGTCAATATTATAGCTCATGTTGCGCAGGTTTTTGGTCAGATAGTATCTGATAAACTATTACCAAAGGTATGTGTGTTTGCATGGAACATAGGTCGGAATTAGGACCCCTCCTGTTACATGTCCCAGAACACACAACACATGTATGTAATAGAAAAACAAACCTGGGTCTAGTACTCTGCCCATCTTTTCCTATCTCCTCCAGGGCAGCCTAACAGCTGTTTGGTTGTGGCATCTGGATGGTATGTTCCCCAGATTCCTAATGGCATCTTCCACAGCTCTCCTGGAAGTCTTGTCACTGTTCAAACAAGACATCTGAGATCTCAAACTACAAAGAATTATTTCAAGTTCTTGTGAACTTATTGACGGAACCGAAGAGATGGTCTCAGGCCTCGAAATTAACTTTTCTTCCTATTGTCCCAGCACTGTCCCCCCCCCAAAATAAATTTCAATTGTCCCGAAGTGAGGATGAAGTGTCCCAACTTGTTTTTTGGGAAGTATTGTTTGACTTCAACTTGAAGTCAACTCTATTTTGCTTACTCCCAGGCGCACTATAATTGCAGAGTAGACAGGAAGGGGGGATTTTCCAGGTCCAAAAGCCGCGACGTGTGCCTGATAAACAAAAGAAGGGTAGACATTCTGATGTTGATTATTTTTCTATTGTCCCAAAAATGTCCCAATGTCCCAGCCTAAATTTTAGTGGTCAGTGGTCAATAGACCACCTTTAATTTCGAGCCCTGGGTCTGATATCCTTGGACAAGCCCTAATTAAGTGGGTGACTTGACAGGGACAACATTAATTTTACTACAAAGCTGTCAATCATTTTTTCAACCTGACCCTCAAGACTTCATGAAACCAAACACTTCCTGAGAATAGTTGGACGTTTTTGATTGTATTAACTGGCAACAGAAATCAAGAATTGGTAGGTTACTTTGAGGATGATCTGCAAGATTTTGATACACAGTATTCCCTAACATCAGATAAGTGTAATTTTTGTCTAAACCTCTTTATTAATTGACTAATATCTACATATATTCCTGTTTAACTACAAGAACTGTTGTATTTCAGTGTTATCAGAAGTGTTGCGTATTACCTAAACCCAATTTTAGTACTTGAACCTAAACATTCTTACAAGTCCAGATCCAAGTCCAGTGAACCGGTATGCATCACTAGTTATCAGTGTCATATAGTATTTAACCCCAGCCTGACACCACTCTAAGTGCATTCAAATACAAAAGCAATACCTCTGTACAGTATATATCCAAAGTAACAATGCCCCTTTACACTGTACAGCTGAGTTTGCAGTGGTTAGAGAACAGATATCAGGTAAAAGTTACAGCACTAACCTGTATCTGTGGATGGACAGGCTGAAGAGTCGGACCAGGCCTTTCACTGCCTGCTCTGGGAAGTCTGAAGTAAACAGATTAATAAGAAAGACCTTTATTGTACATTTTTGCTCATTGCGAACTAAGTACAGGTCACAGCAATTAGCGATGGTAGACTAAAATATATCTATAGTAAAAACTACACATGTACATGTACAGGTTCTGCTTCTTTTCGCTTCTTAAGACAGTTGTAAATGTAAGAACATGTGGAGCTTGTAGTACCAGGATTATCGCGTTTCATGAGGAATGTGAACTTTTCTTTTCTGTCTAAAAATCTAAAGCTAGGGAAGTAATCTTGTATACGATTGAAGAGAATCATTCATTATTATATAGAGTACAGTCCACAATAAAATGACTCTTGTCTTCAATCTCATTTAGGTTACAGTAATGACAAATTCTTTGTTGCAGAGGAATAAAGATAACCTACATGTACCCTCCCTACACTCTCACTTTCCTACCCAGTGTGCAAGACTGGCTCCCTCCCAATAGACCTATCCTAACTGTCCATCGTACTATTAACAGACTTCGAACAGACTTCGATTTTTATGTCTTCACTTTTCATTCCTACTACTACGTTGGGTTGGGCATGGATTTGGAATCAGTTTATAAAAAACTCAGGGTTGCCTTTTTACAAGTCAGCCTACAGTCAGTTTATAAGCCTCCAAAGTTGATTTTTTTAAAGAGTACAGTAACTGAAATTTGAATTAAAGGATGCAAGCTGGGGAAAAACAAAAAGTTGGCTGGCCCCAGTGATTTAGAACTTTCCTTATGTTGTATGTTGTATGTTTGTTGCATTTATAGACAGAGAACCAATGTCACAAGTTAACTTTAGCTGTATGTAATATTTACTACCGGTAGTAATGGGGGTGAGGTTAGGGGGCTGGTACCCAGATGGAGGGTCAAGTAAAAAGAAATAATATCACATTTATATTTTTATATTTTTTTACCGCAAAGTTGTTGTCATCTTTCTGTCTGGGGTGTAGGGGGCTCTGGATAGAGATAGTACATTTGCCCCAAAGTAAAATGGGGAAAACAGGGCTAGTGGTACAGACCTGATATTTAAATGGCAATGGCACTACATACATATACTTTGGTACGTCTAATATCATATATGTTGTGACACAAAGTGGTGTGCAATCTGCTCCCATACCAGAGTGCGCATACCAAGCCCTTTTCCGTAGAGCGTAATTGGCCGTTTTAATTCTACGTAGAGCGTAGACGGACCGCTCCAATATTTTTGCGTAGAGCGTATTCGGCGTTTTAATTCTATGTAATGCATTGTAGCCACTTGGAATTTATCGTAAAGCGTAATCGAGAGGTTTCCGAATTCAGCGTAGAGCGTTGTCGGGAACCCCCTTGCAGGCCCTCATACAGCTGAACTGGTTTTGGATTGGCCTTCAAGTATCCACAACAGGACGTTACATAATTTGTGTTGGCGTGGATTTTGCTGCCTGAAGATATACATATTTGGCGATCTGTTCAGATGAAGATATTTTCAGGGTGTCAGATATACGTGACCAGGTCTTTATATTAGTAGTCTACTAGACATTACATTGGTCACCCATCCCCCACCCCCATAATCCTCCAAGCAGATGTTGGGATGGAAAAAACGAAGCAAAAAACCCGGCTGGTCAGAAAACTTCACGATTCTAACTTGGACACTATCCTCCAATGGCCTCAGACTAGCCGGGTCTGTAATTTACTGCTATGCACCCTGTAGTGGACCGGAGAAGTTTGTCCGGAGCCTTGGGGAGACTATACGACTAGTGACCAGGTTATCGGAGACTGAGAGAATGACCAGTGACGTACCCGGCTTGCCGACACATGGCACCAAGTCTTGCAGCAGCGACAGTTGCTCTCTTGTAGACGACGTTGTGGCCCTACTGCTGAACTGGCGAAGAATTTCCGCAGTCTGAAATGATACAACATCATATACAAAACAAAACTTACACATCAGTTAAGGTTAGACAACAAAACAAGAAATAAAAGCGGCGTAAAAGTAGCGTGTACGTACCCGGGCGTCCGCCATGTTGGCCAAGACGAAACTTCCGACTTTTACCGAAGATTATCGAGTGCACTTCCGGGATTTTCTTCCTAAAATAATATAACTTCAGACGTTGAAGTAATCATTTTATGGACGATTCGTACTCATTTTATTTTATTATTTTGTATCTTCTACCGTTCCTTTGAATTATAGAAATATTTTGCCTCACGATGATTTGACCTTTGACATAATTTACGCGCGAAGTTTCGACAGGAGTTTTTGTGTCGCTCAGGAGAAGAGTCAACAGTAGAGGTTGAAAATGGCACCTCTAAAAGTCGGCCTGTGTCCTGCACTGACCGTGGAAGTACTGAATTCTCTCCTGAATGCGGGTGTCAGAACAGGTGAATTCAACAAACTGTCCAACCCGTCCTAAACGCTCACGACAGGGATGGACAGTGTGTGTGGGGAGGGGGGTCGGAAGTCT